ACACAATTTATAGTCAATTAAAATCACAATTTATTGATAACTATTAAGTCATGGATTGTAAACGCATTCATCAGTTGATTGGTTTAGCATTTAAAATAACTTATCATTTTTGTATCATAAATATTTCTTTCAAATAAGTATATAATAATATTAATCATTCATTCATAGCAAATAAATTTGCGATAATAAGTGTAGTATTTATACAGTATATCTATGGGCGAATGACTGGTTATCTATAAAAAATCATTAATAGCTGTTTTATCCAAAACTAAAATATCATATCATTCGCGATATAAATGTCTAAAAAACAATAACAACTTTTATAATATGTGGTAGTATTCTGTATAATGTGTCAAAATGTATGTCTGTATAGTAAACAAAACAAAAATAATAATTTAAAAGCCTTTCAGACATGTGTTTATAATAAATGTGTCATAAAATAGTTGCGCAAAAGCTGTCAAATGGGTGAATGATTGGCGCAATTTATACAAAAATAGTCATCTCTTAATGTCTATACAATAATAATCGTTAAAAACCTATATTTTATACAAAAAATTAATTAGGAGGAGAGTGTGGGGGACGGCCTATTCAGTGGTGCACCCGTAGGCGGCGAGCACTGGTGGGCAGCGATTGTCTTAACGCCTCCTCAGACGTCGACCACGAAGAAGGCGTTGGATTGTCGTCGAGGCGGCGCTGCGTTTGGGTCCAACGCTAGATTCAAAACTGCAATCAAAACCACAGATTAGGGGAACAGTAGTCTCAACGCATGGCTTCAACACATCCACCGATCGATACATACCGTCGAAGCTATGCTCCAATTTCTTCAGATTCTTAAGCACTGCCGACAGATCTCTGCTGACACTGACACCACTCTCGGTGGCCGACCGCCTGTCCGGTAAGGACAGCTGCGGCAACAGCTCGTCAATCATGAACGCCGTGTCGCTGTTGGCCTCGTGTTTGGGCCGTTGGCTCTCCAACACTGACCGCATGTTTGACCGCAACTTCTGCGACAACTGATGGATGGC